TTGAACTCCTTTCAAATATGTCCTCGATAACTACATCATTTTCATTCTGAGAAATTATTTCCTTCAAAAAAGGAGAAGGAAAGAGACAGTAAGTATAAAGAAGGCTCCAAGGTATCTGAACATTCAGTAAAGGAACCTTCATCTACTTAAAACTTGAGAGAAAATCCTGATTATTATTGTCATGTCCCATCAGAGAAACTTCTCTTTGGATTGTGCCTGCATAAAATACTGGGTTTATCAAACTAGACACAAATATACTTGTCAAAGATTAATGCACTTTGGAGGGACAGTACATTGATTTTGATCTTTGTAAACATGGCAGAGTATTGACGAACTGGAGATTATTGCATTATCTTTGACAAGTATATTCATTGCAAAGTGACCTTTGAAACGTAAGAGTAAAAACACTTGTACCAAAGAGATTTGATACCTTAATTAAATAAAAACTTGGGCGCCATGTAAACTGAATCTTTACGAAATGCAAAATTTCACCTCACTTATGGAATCATCTTCTGAGTCAATATCTTCTTCCAGGCTGACGGACACCACTTGATATTAAAACAGAAAGGATGTGGTGAGATAAAAACAGTAAAACAATTTATGCAGGAAAGCTTAGTACAACAAAACTCTGCACAATTAGTTAGAGCTTATCCCCTCTTTATAAACACCCATTTAACATGAACCCCTCATTGTTACAGAAAGTTTCCTTTATCCTTGTAGGTCTGTTTCAACAACCAATACTGTTAGTTAGTATGGCTGGAGCACAACTTGGTCTAAGATGGAATTTCCAAAATGAATTTCTCTGAAGTACAATGAGCCACCAAGTTGCATTTTTGGGGCAAGTAATTCTAATGTTTACTAATCATAAATAGCAAGCTAATTAGCAATCGTGCCATTCTTTAAAAAGTACTCAGTCAGTCTACTTGCTAAACACGTGAAAACTAGACCCCAGCGTTTGTTGTTCACCACTCCTCAACTTGTCCTCCTTGTCTGAACCGTCTAAGCTCCGAACACATCGAATCGAACATTGGTAAAAGGGGGTCCAATTTCTGATCTGTCTAGAGGGGGTCCGCCATCTTTTGTTCCACTATGGAACCTCTTAAAATCCTGCACGTAAAACTTGAGCTGATGAGGTTAAGGGAATTTATGTATTTGTAAATACTTTATCTTATAGTCGTTTAATATATTTTGAGATCGGCTTCAGCGTCCTGGTTTGCGATTTGTGTTAAATTATTTTTACCATGTACTCAGCCGATTTTACTTGCGTGAACGGATCCACGAGCAAAGTTTGTGCTACGCGAATTGCTTTTAGGGATTAATTTATGGGGTTTTAAATAAAAAGTTTCGAGAAATAATTTCTCTGTTTGTTCTGTGTTCTTTTATTGATAACATTAGCTGAAAAAACAACCAAGCTGAATATAATGCTTCTCACATTACACGCATCACTTTCGTTAATATCAGCGAATTTTATAGGATTTTTACTTTTAGGTTCAGTTTTTGAGCACTTTTCGATACGTAGCTAATGAATTTGAAAGTATGTTTTTTTCTAATTATTCAAGATTTGCGCTCTAAGTTTACTACACAGAGGGTCGCTAAAGTATTCAGTTTTACTTTGAATATTCGCCGTCCTTTCAATGGGTTAAGAGCTGCAAACGCCGATAGCTCAGTTGGAATGATGAGATTGAAGGAGCAGAATTAATCTCCACAGGACTATGAATGACATTCTAATGACTTTTCAAAGCCGGTCGGAAAAAGCCGATCCCGCAAATATCCACAAGGCTTTTTTTAAAAAACACTTTTCTACTGTTTACAACATTGACAACATCTTGAATTTCAAAAAGCAACGCACGCATGCGCATTCTATTTTGGTCTTGGCATTTCCCGCCCGCTCACCTCCAATACGTCACCGAAGTGAATTGACCGAGAGGGACTGGGAAAACACCGTACAAGGACTACGCAAGTTAAAACTCAGGTTGGCCTGACGAAGACGACCACCCACTCTAAGTATTCCCATGCTGTCGTCGTAGGAGATTCGATTTCTTCTGGGACCTTTTCCTTGCTCTGGCTCCATCACGGCCCTTGTAGTTATTCGTCCTTTGAACGATATCGTCAAACTCCTTTTTAAAGGTTTCCCTCTGGACTGTTTTGATGATCGCCTCCGCAGCCTTGGTGATCACAACAGGGGAAAGGTGATGACAAGGATTAAACTGTGTTGTCAAGCCACTACCGAGGTTTCTTCCTTTCAGCGATCTTGCCTTGACTATCAGGATGGCAATGGTGCGCCTCAGGGAGCACCAGGATAAGGATCTCACAACTCTCTCCGTCCCTAGGGTGGAGGACTTTGCTGACGTGGCACCTGTTGTAAGAGGCTTCAACTCCTTTCTCACCTTGGGGTCGTCGGCACTTAGGATCACTTGTTCCGCTCTGGGTGAGGTGACTTGTGAGGCATTGCGCAGGAACTCGGGACTATTAAGCCAGGTTGACTCTGCAAGCTCCTTCAGGTGTAGACCAGGTCAGCAGGATTGTTAGAACTTTCAACGTATCTCCATTTTTCGGGGGAAGCGACCTTTCGTATAGCTTGCACCTGATTTGGCACCTAGGTGTGAAATCGTCGGTTTCGTTGCAAATGTAGCCCAAGACGACCATCGAATCAATGCAGAATCAATGTTTTGTCGCTTAATGAAACAAGGTTTGATGAATCGGTTAGTGATAACGAGGTTTACATTCCCGGTTACGAGATCATTCGCGTGATTGGATCGAGAACATGATGGTAGGCTTGGTGGGGGCGTTTGTTTCTATGCTCGCTCTAGTACGAATTATTCTTTGCGCCCCGACCTAAGTGATCCAATCCCTGAAAAACCTATGTATTGAAATTCGTAAACCTAGAACCAAGCCTTTTCTCATCGCGACCTGGTGTAAACCTCAGTTCATCAACAGAAATTTTCTCTTGTCTTGAAACTTTGATCGGTAAACTTGATTTTGAAAATGCTGAATTTGATTTAATGGGTGATTTCAACTGTAACTTTGCTTCGTCTCAACCCGATAACAATACTGTGTTATTGTCTAATTTATCAGATGTCTACGGACTCCATCAACTTATAAACACCCCAACTGGAGTGAAAAGTGCTTCCTCTACTTTGACTGATGTAATCTTTACAAATTACTTGGACAGAGTTGTTTGTTCGAGTGTATCTCATGTAAGCCTAAGCGACCATAGTCTAGTTTATGTTTTTCGTGAGGTTTCGATTGATCCATCCATCCTCCTTTAAAGGTCATTCGACAGTAACTTATAGGAAATTTAAAAATTTTAATTCTGCTAGTTTTCATTTCGATATTTCCCTGTAAAACTGGGACAGTGTAAACAACTATGAAGACGCTAATGATATGTGGAAAGCTTGGAAAAGTCTTTTCTCTCAATGTGTCGATGAGCACGCCCCGCTACGTCCCAAGCGCGTTCGTGCGATGAAATCAACTTGGATCACACCTCATTTGAAAAAAATGAGAATGAATACCCGTAACATGCTTAAGCTCAAAGCCGTCCGTTCGGAAATTCTAATGACTGGTTGAAATTCAAGAAATGTCGCCTTTCAAGACAATGAACGTGATCCACACAAGACGTGGCAAATCAGTAATGAATTAACATCAAGGAAAACTCACAGTTTTTGGGTAAAAGAGATAAAACTTGACAATAATTCTATTCGCGATCCGTGTGAGCTGTCTTCTGTTTTCAATAACTACTTTTCAAGTATTGGTCCGACCCTTATTGACAACATTCATCACCCCACTAAAGGCCCTTTACATTTCGATTATATCATGGAGACCGAACATAGATTTAATCTGAAGACAACTGAACCTTCCAAAGTTTTCACCTTATTAGTCTCGCTTGCGTAAGCAGCGAGACTCATAATCTGCAAAGCGTTTTTCGCCCCGGGGGGTAGTTCCTTATATAGGCTTTGCAGGTATGTGTCGCGCCAAAGGTTGTGGTTTTTTGGCCGTTTTGGTCTGAAATAGGGTATGGTGTGTGTACTCTAGTCTTGAATTGGGTATGATTTTTAGAAGAATTAGGTACTTCTTCATCATTTGGCGATAAGACTTTTTCCCTTTTAATGTTTACTCCAACTACCGTGTACGTGCCTTAACAGCTTGTCACACGCTCCGGTAACGCGCCGGGCTCCAGGGCTTCATGTATGAAACAGGGTATCAAATTTTTGATCAGGTCTGAAATTGGGTAGGGAAAATCACAGAGTTTGGTCTGAAATATGGTAAGGGTTTCTTGAAGCGTGCAACACACCCCCACCCAATTTTTCTGGAAGTACCCCCCCCCGGAATTTTTGGTCGAATTTTGGGTCACAAAAGGCAGCTCATTGTGCCAGGCGTTCCTTGCGGAGACTGTGGAAACTGGGACTAACAATGATCGAAGCCACGTACGTTTTGCGAAGAAAGCTTAGGAAAGATTAAATTTAGAGCTTTTCCGAAACGTGTCAGTCCAAGAATTCTATCGCTTGAAAGCATTGATTACTTTGGAACAAGTGAACACTACTGAGTGGTCGAAAAAAAATAAGAATCTTAATTAGCAAAATTGCGATGGTCGGGTGTTGTAAACTTTCACTGTATGCTAGCCTGCGGGCAAGCTCTCCTATTTGGGCAAGCGAAGCGAGCCTCGCGAGAACGCGCGAGCGAGGGGCCGAGGAAAGGAGAGCTTGCAACCATCTCTTATAAATTTTCATTTCCACCCCCGAAACCCCGGGACTCCGCAAAGCGTGAAAACTGTCACCGCAAACGTGCCGCAGATTAGAAAAGTGACAACCGCCTGTCAAGTAAGTTTAGACAGCCAAGGGCGCGTAGAGTTATTTATTTGTGAATCGCTGATATATATATATTTTTTTCACGGGGACATCGAACCTCAACGTGTCCCCTCGGATAAAAACTCACTACTTTGATTCTCGTTTCGTTTACTTTTGAAAAGTCGTCCATGCTGCAGTGTAGAAGACTACTCCGCATCGCAATCACCAACAAAAACATCATATATTTGTCCGTCTGGAACTGAAGAATAGCATTTTCCTGCACTTGGTTCTCTTAAGTTTTACTCCAGTTGCTTCCAACTCTTTCTCTTTTCCTTCTTTACGGTCAAGCTACACAACTACACTGTCAAGTACATGTTTCTGAATTTTTCTACCCAGTAGAGTTCAATCGGGCGAAGAAACCAATGTTGGAAGACAGAGCTTGAATCACTCTTCACTTTCACTCTCCCGGTTTTCAGAACTAAACAAGGCGCTTGACACAAACGAATACAACTGATGAAGGGTTTTCATTTTCTTCCACAAGAACCATAAACTCGGTCCGACTTATCCTCGGCATGTAATATTCTCTTTGCGAGAATTACATCAGACGAGCCCGTTTGCATTGAGGGCTGAAACAAGTTCTCGGTACCAATCTGATCCCCCTGAGAACCAAATTTGACACACAGACGAAGCGGGTGCCAGCTTGGCCTGTTATCAATCAACTTTGATTTCCGGAACGTCATTTTTCAGCCAATGGTATTTCCCTTCGTCTGGGTGAAGTACAAATGAAAATTTGAAAGAGATGGTTGAAAGCTCTCCTTTCGCCGGCCCCTCGCGGCTTCGCCGCTCGCTCGCGCGTTCTCGCGCGGCTCGTTTCGCTCGCCCAAATAGGAGAGCTTGCCCGCAGGCTAACTGTATGCAAATGAGTCTTGTGATGAGCACGCCATTTATTTTCGGCGATGATTGAAATGACGTGCCATGTAAATAACTTTTTTGATATCTGGCAATGATTTAATTTCTCTGGAATCGAGGCCCTTTAATTTTCGTGTATTTATACACGCGTATAGCCTGCTGCTGGGGAGGTACTTCTGGTCGTCGGTAACACGCTTACTAAATCAATTCAGAAACAAATAAAAGGTATGCCTTTTGATATTCTGAGGAAGAGTCAAATACCACTCGAATTTGACCCGGCTTTTTCGGGTGGTAAACCCCGAAGTGGGCTAGGTACCAGACTTGCGCAAAGTCTCCGCCGGCTGAAATTAGGGAACTTAAGATGGAGACGTTTTCGGGGCGACGGCGACCGGACTGGCAGAGAAAGCCTGGAACTAAGGCAGCCGTCGCTCCCCGTCAAAAATAGAACATTAAGATCGCAGTGAACTCAGAAGGACGGCGCCTTTAATTAGAAGAATACCGAAGAGGAAAATATGGCTTCACATAAAGAATTAAGAGAATAAATATTTGCTATGCAGACAACATGTATCGGATGAAGAGTTTCTCGTTTTGTGGGAAAATTATGAGTCCAAAAATCCCGATTTTCCTCGGGACAGTTACGATCCGTTCACGCTAAAAAACATGCGGGATGCAGCTGAGTTCAAGGCAGAATTTCGTGTTGAAAAAAAATGATCTCCACAGGCTTGCCGAAGCCTTGCAAATTACAGGAACATTAAAATGCTACCAAGGAACCGTATTCTTAGGTTGGTATTGAAAAAAATTCCCGGGAAATACTTGCATGCAACCTCAACAACAACGGCAACAACTTTATTTCAGTATTCCCACGCCGAGTCAGTACATGGTATTACCTACTATTCTATATAATTTTCAATGCGTTTCATTTATACGATATTCTAACGAAAAGAGCGAACTAAAAACACACAATTGAAATATCGGAGTTCATATTTTTTGTCTGGATACTTTTATTTGGCTCGTGGGAAAATTTTGTCCCATGTCAAGCTCACCTACGGTTGGCTGTTTGCCAAGTTGGATCTTGACCCTGTGACATGAAAACATAGAAACATTCAAAGATGTAAGTTTAGATAACAGAGCTTGGAAATCGAGCTTGAAATGTGCGTCAAAGAAAACAAGGACAATTTAAGAACGATAATCTGCAAAATTTTGGTTGTTAAACGCAACAAACCTGATTGAAATGAAAGTTAAATACTCACGTTTTCGCCACAACGCCAAACACACCAGTTGCACGTCGCCGACGGGACCACGACGGCAAGGTGGTGAGCACGGACATGCGCAATATCCAACAAATGATGATGTCACGTCCGGTTGAAGTTGCCGTCGCCCCGAAAACGTCTCTATCTTAAGTTCCCTATTTCTTTTTTAGGAACTGCGTGCCAGGTCTTTGTTTAGTAAGTTTTCCAAGAATTCGATGTAGTCCTTTTCCATTTAAGGTTTGCGTTTACAGGTTCTTAGCACTCCGTTTAGACTTTTGATCGGGTAACTCCGATTGTTTGGCATGAATACTTTACTTGAGCGAAATGGTTATGGTATTTCCCAGTTTCCTAGCTCGTTCTAATGAATCCTCTTTTCCATAATCTCTAAGAATCTTCGATCCTCAATTGACAGCCCCACGTTGTTGTCGAGGTCGTTGTTGTTGAGTCACTTAATAGACATCTGCTGTGTTTTCGACGTCATCGACCATGGTGAAACTTTCTCGGAAGTGAAGTGTATTTGGACATGCGACTATCTTGACTCTTCTCTTGCACCTCTTCCGTTACATGTTGGATGTGTTGGAACATTAAAGGAAATGACGTGCCATGTAAAAACAGGAGGCTTTACTCTTTAAGGGTCTTTAAGCAATGTGGTGCACCTCCAGCTTCACTGGCTAAGGTTTATACAACCATTGTTCGTCCTGTTCTAGAATATGTTGCCCCTATCTGGCAAAATATACCAGATTTTCTATCTTATAAGATTGAGAGCATTCAGAAAAGGGCTATGCGCATCACTTTTCCTGTAAGGAGTTACAACGAGGCATTAAATGCCCTTAATCAACTCTAAGTGACAGACGCGCCCATCTATGCCAGGGTTATATTGTTAGACTCCGGAATGAGAATCATCCCTTGCATTTTATGCTCCCCAAACAGGAGGAGGTTGTGCATAATTATAATCTTAGATCTGGCATTAGCCGCTCCACGCGTCCTACCTGTAGGACCAAGCGCACGCAAGAGTTTGTCACGCATAAGTATACCTAGTGGCTTGTACAATTATATTTTCTAGTATCTATTGGATTTATTGTATTATATTTTAGTATTATATGTTTTGTAAATAGCTCTGTAATTCAGCCATTCTGTATATTGCTGCTACGAGTCTTAATAAACAGTCACAAACAGTCACAAACCAGATTGGCACCAGAATATACATCCACGTCCTTGAATAGTCTGTCACTACACAGGTTCTCTTGGTTTGTACATGGATAGGTCTATCTTTTAGGTGTAAACAGGTCTGGCCTGATATCGTCCACTCCAACGCTAACTTCTGAGCCCATGGTGCTCCTTTTGTGCTGTTCTTAAATGCTCCTACTTTTAATAATTCTGGGGTGTCTCCGCCGACAAGAAGATGGATCTTCGCCTCCTCATGGAAAGGGGGAATCTCTTCGGCAATACTTCCTAGATGACGATGTTCCCATGCGATTTCCGGAGTCAGTATTTCTTTCATATCTTGGGGAATGCCATCGTACTCTATGAGTGGGGGCAGTACTGAGGTTTTCCCGTGGATGGACCGTATTACGACTCCTGTGACTCTCTGACCATATTTGACCACCTTGGTGCCTCCGCAGGTAGAAAGGTGGTACTTGGATGCGGGACCTTCAGCGTTTAGCCTGTCTGCTAGCTCAGTGCTAATAATTGAAGCGTTACTTTGGTCATCCACAACAGCGTACACCCGATGAACTTCGTTGGGGCGATCTAGACATCCACCAGCACTATCTTGATGCAAGAAAGTCCACCCGGGGGACCTTTGCCTATCGATGTGCATTTTAAACTGATAACTTCTGAACCACCGTTGGCCGGCTCCCTTTCTTTGCTCCTCTGCTTCTTTTCTTCAGTGCTTGGAGGAGCTCAGGGTGTCTTGTGGTGCTACAGATACCGCACTTCACTTTTTCTCTGCACTCGCTGGCGATGTGGTTTGGCGTGAAAAAGCGGAAGCATAATCTTTCCTCCTTAACCCACTGTTCTCTCTTCTTGACCATCATTTTGTTAAAGGCCTTGCACTCTGTAAGCTCGTGGCCAGTTCGTTGTGAAATAAACAGCGCCTCTATGTCTGGGGTTCTGGGGCTTTCTTTTCTGGCGTTTTGCCGCTATCGTGTCCTGTATTGGTCTTCAGCGGCTGCTTGACCTCGACACCAAGTTGGAACAGGGGCTTCTTTCGATTCTCCTCGCAATGACGACTTTGCGCATGCCATTTGCTGTACTGACTCCCGCCGAAACGTAAGGGTGATTTCTCTTTCTCGCTTCGTCCTGGATCATCGCTGAGAATTCGCTGAATGTAGGATAGGCCTCGTGGTGTTCACCTGCGTAGCGTACTATTTCCTCCTCCCATTTAGATCTGAGCATGGTGGGGATCGAGCTTTTCCATAATAGGGCGTATAACTATTGCATACCTGCTCAACCTATTTTTCCTAGAAATTTTGCCAAAAAAGGCGTTTTGAAGCAAGTCGACCCATTTTCTGGTCACAGTTAGCTATAGAGAGCATAAAATCAACAAGCCATTTACAGTTTGCGCACTCTGCAGCCGATTGTTCCAGATGCAAAATATAATGTCAGTTTCCGAAGTTCAGGCATGCACAGAAAGCAAAATTCTAGACCTTTCACTTTCCCCTTTCTTGCCCTTTTTGTTCTCTTTTGCCAAGCATAATATTCTAGGCCTTATTTCAATGGGAAAAGTTTTTGGGAAAGCTGTTACATTTGTAGGATCGTAGGATTTTAGATGAAAGAAAGTGCAGGCAGGTAGTGGAACAAGATTTTAAACGAAATTGATCCTCATCTTTACATGTTTTATTGCCCTTTTCTTGACTGAATCAGGTCATTTAATTTTTGTATGGTAAGAAACACAAGACGCTGTGGGAGCGTTTATTTGGGCGTCGTTGTGCTAGGCGTACGCGATGTTTTTGGGTATATCAGGGATGTGTGAGTAGTGTAGTAACGTTGACTGCGTTGTATACTTTAGGGGTTGGTTGAGATTAGTGAAGTGGAAGGCGTCGAGTTATATTGGACTTGGATAGGTAAGATAATGGCTGTAGTTTGTTAATCAGTGAAACTGATTTCTCATAGAATTTTATATGAAGTAACAAAAAATATTTTTTGGAAGGTAAAATGATTTTAGGCGTTGCAGCGAGGTAGTTGTTGGGAGTGCTTATTTGGTTATGAAGGGATAGTATAGTTACAGTCTGTTAAAATGAAGTTGTGGTTGTAAAAGATCTTATCAATAGTCGAAAACAGTCTTGTAATTATTTTAAATGTTGTTAGGCTTCTTCTTTAGGATTTTCTTTCAGCTTTTTTTGATAATATTTGTATGGAGAGAACTTGGATATGGGAAGTTCATTTAATATGGAGAAGTTTGGGGGGCTGAAATTTTGGGTGTGTGGGTTCGGACGGCTTTGAACAATAAGGGAATCATCGTAAGTAAAAAAACGAGCATGTTTCTTGTAATATGATATTTGAAATGTCATTTCTCACAAACGTAAACACCTGACACTAAGCACGAAAATCTTAAGGTGTGATCCAATTCCAAACCCGTCCTAAATTCCAAATATTGTTGACGGATTTGATTCCTGAATTTAATACTTCCAAATTTCTGAGAAAAGAAAAACGGCCGCCTTTTAGGTCCGACAAAAAATACCGTAACTGGCTTCAGATTAAGTTTATCTTTTCCTCCAAATTGAAAATTATTTTGTTCATCGCTTTTAATGTCTTAGTTCCCGCACTGTTGGGAATTGTGTTGCAAGGTTTTTGAGATCGTAAAAGTGGGATCAAGTACTATGCTAGAAAAGCATTTTTCCAGGATACGTTTTACCTTGCCTGAGTCGTTTGCGTGGCAGACATGCGCATCGCTTGGCTAGTTTAAGTTCGCACGTATTGCGTGCCTATTTCAACTTCGAATCAAAACAAACGATCTGGGCTACGCCCAAATAATAATCTCTCACCCTTGCACAAGATAAATGAAAAAGTTGTCCCTGACCATTAAAACAGAGTACTACTACAGATAAAGTGGACAACAAAACTGCATATAAAAGAGAAAGGCAAAGGAAAACAGACAGCGAGAAAGGATGAAGATCAAAGTAGTTTCACAAAAAAAAACAAGTTCAATTTTGACTTATGCACATGTGTTAACATTTAAAAAGCTGTTTAATTACAACCATTCTCATCCCCAGAGCCACTCAGCTTTAATTGTGACAAGACCACGTGACCAAGAAAAGACAGGCCCTGGGGACAAGAACGAATTACACCTGATTAGTCTGAAAATTTGCCCTTTCTGTTGCTTAACTCATTTTTAGCCATTCTCATGCTTATTAAACCAGTCCAAAAAAGAGGAATAGCTGAAAATGCTGTTTTTCCTCTACTCACTGACTATCAGCAAAGAGTTTTAAAAGGTCCTTTTACTGTTTAACAAGTTTTGAGGGCATGTATTACCTTCAGGTGGAAGCTCTTCAAGGAATCCCATTGTTTGACCATGTTTCTAATAACAGAAAAACAGAAATACCTAACTTAATTAAAGCCATTTTATACATGTAAACCAGTGCATCCACTGTATTGCAGTTTTACATCTGAAGTTTGTAAGCAAAGTTTAAAGTAAGAATTCATTATTCATCCTGAGTGTTAAGTTTATATGTTTATACAGCATCTGAACATTTGTCTGACTTTATCAGACACCTTCAGTTTGAAAGGCTCTTTGTTTAAAGTATACCATGTTTAATTAATTTTTCAGCTTTTGTATCACATAAAATTTAAAGAACAGCAGCCAAAAATAAGTGGCATAATTATTTAGATACATGTATCTTTTACGTTTTTGCTATTTGAATAGCCTTTACCATGTTAAAATAAGTCAGTTAATGTTGATTCGCTCCTTATGACCACTCTCATAGATGACCCTGGTGATGTTAGTCATATCCCAGAAATAATTAATAGGATGGGGAAATTCAAAAGGTTTTTCTTGATTTCACAGCTTGCTTGCAAAACAAAATCAAATCTCAGCCGTTCAAATAATATTTATAAGTTTGGTTATTACTTACCATGGGCCATGACTGTAAAATCTTATTTAGAATCTTACAAGATCTTGTAACATCAATGTACACGTAAGAATCTTAAATACAAGATCTTGTAAGATCTTTATAAGAATCTTGAATACAAGATCTTGAAAGATCTTTACAAGAATTTTGAACGAGCTTGAAAATTGTAAGACTTTGACAACAATCTTGAAACATTTTGTAAGTTTTTAATAAGATCTTACCAGAATTTTGCAAGACCTTGTATTTTTTTAAGAACCTTGTAAGATCTATAGCAAGGTGGATTTCCACTGGCACATAATTTTTATGTCCGCAAACAAGTTAAATTTGACATACTGTACATATTAAATAAAATAGAGGCATTAATGTGTGGAAGGTCGGACATAAATGAAGTTGAGCGAGGTTCAACTTTTACACTATGTGCGACCTTTCATACAGTGTACATTGCCTCTATTTTGTCTACCATGTAAAATTTATGTCCGTATGCATGTAAAAATTACGCGACAGTGGAAATCCATCCTAAGAATCTGAAAGATCTTGTAAAAATCTAATACTATGATCTTGAAGGTTTCTAGTAAGATCTAACATGAAAATTGTAAGATCTTGCAAGCAGTAATATATGGGCTATTGATCAAACCTCAATTGGACCAGACTGATTGGCTCAACCCTTGCATTCCCATCTCTAACCTAGCCTTTTGTCATTAAGTGAGATAAAGGGGTTGATCCAATCTGGTCCAAATAATCCAAGATTTGTTGAGGCCAGTGGTAATGTAATCAAACTAAGCTAGAAAATTCCCAGCTTTTGCTACCTGTGGTCTTGGATGCTCTTGTCAAAAACGAAAGTGCAACAATAACTGAGCCATTTCTCGTGTGCTGATTGGTTGAGAGCTATGGACCATGAGACCACACACCACAGAAATGATCAGACAATGCTGCAATTTGTTTTTCACTTTCTTGTGCAGATGATTTTCCATGTTCGTGTTTAAAATAAACCAATTAGCAATAAGTTTCCTTGTCGGTCTACTCTGATCTTATGGACCATAGGAATGACATCAAAATGTCCAAACTTTGCAGTGAAACCACTCAACTGCGGCTTGTGGTTCCACTTGAGATTTAATTATTTTGACATCACGTTTATGGTGAATAAGAGTATATTAAAAAGAAGCAATTTTTTGTAACATTTAGCTATAAAAAAAGTAACAAAAAAATTTTCTTAAAAATTTTAAGCAATTTTCTAAAAACATTAAAAAATACATGTAATAATTATGTACGATGAAGACCATGAAAAACTGTTGCCAATCTGTTACCTAGCCAGATATATTCTCAAGATCAAGTACATACCTGGGACAGCCTTGGATCTCTGTTGGCTTTAACATTATCACAACTTGCTGGCCTACTTATAGACTCCAAGCTGAGAAAACAAAGAGTATATCATATTAGCCAAGTTTGATGTCCATATTACATTGCATGTGCATCACTTGCTTTTAAATCACTGAAGAGGGAACACCCTGGACATCTGGTTTTTTCATACCTTTTCAACAGATATTTTGCAAAAATTTAAAACCATTTCAACCCTCCAAGTTAAAATTTTTGTTCAGTGGCCATTTGGCGACCAACTCTTTGGGTTTAGTCACCAAATTATATTAATAAGTTAATATATCAAAAATTGTCATGAACAAAAGCAGTTAGCAAGTTTAACTTAAAATGCAGCACTGTTTATAAATTACTCATTTACATGTATCGCACAAGGCATTATTTACTGATAGTTTGAGAATAAGGTTTGCAGATTCATCTTCTTGAATCACTACTGAAGCAGAATTGTAAAGACAATTACCATTTCCAATAATTAGGGCCTTCAATCCTTCTGTATAATCCTCAGTTGGTATGAGAGCAGAACTTAACTCATCGTCTGTTAATGTATTCAAAGCTTCCCAGTCACAACTTGAAAGGAGATCTATTTTTTTCCGGATAATTATTTGTTTCACATTTCTTCCACGACTTTTGTTGATGATGGAATTGTTTCAACAACTATCAAATATTTTGGGGGATTTTAAGGATCGTTTTTAATTTCGCTAGACATTGCGAAAGCCTCACAAAGGCAGGAGAGTGTTGGAAGATCAACAAGTCTTATAAATCAAATCATTGCTTTATACAGAGATAACATCACACACATGAAAATTTCGCAACAAGTTGTACTAGGAAAACATTTTTTCCCAATCCGTTGAAAGGAACCCAGACAAAAAATGCAGCTTATGAAATAACAAATTTTCTTTTTCCTTTTTCATCGCTACAGGTGTTTAATAAATAAATTTTTTGCAGCAACCATAAGCTGTCAGTTTTTTAAATGTTTAGTTTCACATACAATTATCGTTTTTATTTATAAAACCGCGATTCAACTCATGTTACGGTTTTACACAATTACACAATTTTCTGTGTTGACTTTGCAGCAATTTAGCTTTCCCTCTTCATGGTATTAGATTGCTTATTGATTCCAAAATATTTAAAATATATAGCCCAGTTAAAAAACCACCAAGCTTGGCCGAACAAGCATTCTTAAGATATCGAAGAAAATAAATTGACACTTTCGAAAAGCAAGGCGTTTCGATTGCATGCTAATTGTCACATGTCAAATAGTTAAAATGTCGTGTGCAAGGCAAGTTTCATTGATGCTCGTTTCGAAACGCTTAGCTCTGACTCTCTGAGACTTTTTAAGTTCTCAGAGTCTTCTCAATTTAGCATGTTTTTCAACGGAAAAGTAAAAAAGTAGTAGTGATCAAATCAGCTAGAATATAATGTTCTTCATATTTCAGTGGAAGTGATTACCATTTTTGTTCCTTTACAAACCTATTCTTCACAGATGCCAACTTGGCGACTATTTTCCAAATCAAGTTGCCAGGTCCAAAATTTTAGGCGCCACGGCGACTAAAAATTAATGGTCGCAACTTGGAGGAGTGCATTTGATTATTTGTGTTGCACAGTTTTTTTTCACAA